CAAAACATGAAAAATCTGACTAGATATCATCTACCATAAGTTAACGACAAGAAGTAATGTGTACAAGATCATTTTTTCTTAAACACACACTAAATAGCTGCAGCTTCTTGCGGAAAGCTTCAGTGTGTCCAATACTTGATAAATATTTGTTTGTTTGGGAAGCTCGTTTCCCGACATTTTCGAGGGGGCTGTCATTTTCGTTAGGAATACAAAGATGCAAAGAAATTTTTTTATTTTGCGGCGGAGTGGTAGGGCCGGGTGTATTCCCTCGGGCTATTCATTTTGAAAAAATAAAAGGATGCTTTTCCCCGAAGAGCAAAAACTGCTGGATCATTTTTACATCACTCGGCCACCTGTACTTGGGGCTGTGGGGTCATGGAATTCGCATTCGGCTTTTAAAGAAAAGATATGAATTTGTTGTTTTTTGTGACATAATGCTTTTTGGTGGCCTTTGGGCAGTGTAGTGTGATAGCCCAACTTTTTTCCTTCCGCAAGCGGGGCAAAACCCCCGCTTTTACTGTGGTCTTTTTTCACCGCCCTGTTACAATTTTTCCCAAAAACCCATTAATTTTCGTCGCAGTTACTTTTTTTTTTTCTTTAAAAAAAAAAAAATTTCCCCTTCGGGCCATTTAAGGGGGGGTTTTTGGGAAGAAACAAAACACAGGGGTTATCTAAAATGAATTTTGCCAAAATAGGGACAAATACAAATCGGGAAATTGAAAAGTCCATAAAAAAAAAAAGAGGCCCAGTAGTTAAAACACAAAAGGGCAGGAGATGGATGTTAGTTTTTAGTACCCAGAGTTCATTTTAAAAATCCTTTAAATTTAACATAATTAAAAAACATGTGGGGTTTACAAGTCAGACTCAACAAAAATTGATTTTTTTTACAAAAAAATTTATTTTTTGTGTCCCCCCCATTTTTAAAAGTTTTTTGGAAACATCTTATACAGAAAGTGGGCCTTTTCATAAATTTCCCCGGGCTGTGCCCAAATCCCCCCTTTCCCACACATAATATTGTTTTACAACAAATTTTAAACTTTATTTGTATCCCCCCGGCTGCCAGACTTCTTTTCTTTTTTATTTCTTTATTTGTGGGGTTATAACTATTTTAATAGTTAAAACCCTATTTATAACCCCCCACTGCTCTGCGCTTTTCCCTAACTTTATTCCCCCTTTTTCCCCCCTCTTTTTTTCTTCCCCTAAACCTTTGCTTTCCTTCCACTATGGTTTTCTTTAGGGGTTTTGCGCTTCACCATAATTTTTAAAACAATTGGCACACCTGACTTCTGAGGGGGGAAAAAAAAACGCGGGTCCCCAAAATGTCTTTAAAAAAGTTTTGTTTGAAATAAAAATTTTTTTACCCGGGCATTAAATTAAAAGTCAGTTGTTTTTTTATTAGGTCCCAAATTTAAACCCAATAAAAAAAAAAAATGACATTTTTGGGGAATGTCCGTAAACAAGTTTTTTTAAAACAAAACTATTTTCAAGACCTGTTGGCAGCGATTTGTTTCTTTCTCAGAAGTCAGGTGTGCCTAATTGTTAATTTTAATTTTGGGGAACGCTAACCCCCCAAGGGGAATAGTGGGAAGGAAAGCGAGGGTTTGGGGGGAAAAAAAAAAACGGGGGGAAAAAAGGGGGGTAAAGTTAAGGGAAAAACGCAGGCCGTGAGTTTTAGGAAAGGAAGAAGAGCAAGATCACTTGCGAACCCCAAAAATTTCATGTCCCTTTTTTGATGTTTGAGAAACACTGAGGATGAGAGGGTTTGTGGGGGGGTCCGGGTGGTGAAACCCGGGTTTATGGGGGAGCAAAGGGGGAAAACGGTATAAAAAATGTGTGTATTTAGGTTTCTTTAAAAATTTTAATGTTTTAAGCGTTCAGGGTTTCATTTACTAATAACTAAAATAAACATTGATCCCTTTGGATCGAGTCTGCCACATTTTCCTTTTTCTATGATACCTATGCAGATATTATTAGATAAAATGTATTATTAAAATTTAAAATTTTATACAAATAAACAAACCCCCGGCGTCTTTAAGAGAGAGAGCAGACAAGTTTCTTAAAATCAATCCCGGTCTGCGGGTTGTGGGCCCTTTGGGTTTACAACCGGTTTTATAACAATTTTCCAGGAGGCCTGGTGTGGGGCCGGGCCGTGGGGCTTTACCCTTAGAACGCTCTTTAGGGGACTAAAATCCGAAGGGGAAAAGGGCTAAAGAAAACTTTCGGTTTTTACGGAAAATTTTTTGTTGTTTTTAAAAAACGGTTTAAACCCGTTTGGGCAGACACCGCAAGGAGTAATGGAGGCTCGATCCCATCCCTCAAGACACCACATTTCCATTCCCGTAATTTTTACACCTTTTTTTTCAGTTTTAAGGCTAGCTGTTTTTTCAAACCTTTTACATAGTATTCCTGGGAACATATCTCTTTCACACAAAAAAAAGAGCGAGCGTTTAAAAATTTCAAGTGCCCTGGGGTATTTAATATTCTTGGTGGGTGAGTTTACTGGGAATGAGTGGGGAGAAGTGGGCTTTGGGGCCCGCGTGTTACATTAAAATCTGGGGCTCTTTTTTGATTCAAAGAAAAAAAATTATTACATTTTTTTTTTCGTGTGAAAGGAAAAAAGGTTGAGTGCCTCCCCCGAAAACACTAAGCGGGGGTCTTGAAAATTTTGAAATTTTTGGGGGAAAAACATGGGTCATCTTGTTCAGTTTTTCCCTTTTTTGGTATGTTAAGGCAAAACTTAATGTTTACGCCCTTAACAATTGCGTTTTTATTTTGTGGCTACGTTTCCAACATCCCCCACATCCTTCCCCGTTCGCACGTTTTTCCCCTTTAATAATTTTCCCCCCCCCCCAAAAACCCCTTTCCCTCACCCCCTCGCATCCTTCACTGCCTCAAAGGTATCCTCACCCACCTTTTCCTCTCGCCCTTCCCTTCGGAACCCCTTTAAATTCGGCTTATTCACGTTCTTCGGGGGGAAAGAAGAGGGAGAGAGGGAGGGAGAGAGGAGGAGGGAGAGAGGGAGGGAGAGAGGGGGGGGGAGGGGGGGAGGAGGGGAGAGGGGGGGGAGGGGGAGAGGGGGGGAGGGAGGGGAAGGGGGGGAGGGAGAGAGGGAGGGAGAGAGAGGGAGAGAAAAGGGGGGAGAGAGGGGGGGGAGGGGGGAGGGGGGGGAGGGGGGGGGAGGGGGGGGAGAGGGAGGGGAGAGGGAGGGGGAGAGGGAGGGGGGAAAGGGAGGGGGTGAGGAGGAGAGAGGGAGGGGGGAGAGGGGGGGGAGAGGAAAAGGGGGGAGAGAGGGAGGGGGAGGGGAAGGGAGAGAGGGAGGGAGAGAGGGAGGGAGAGAGGGGGGGAGGGAGGGGGGAGAGAGGGAGGGGGAGAGGGAGGGAGAGAGGGGGGAGAGAGGGGGGAGAGGGAGAGGGAGAGAGGGGGGGGAAAGGGGGAAGGGGGGAGAGAGGGGGGGAGAGGGGGGGAAAAGAGGGAGGGAGAGAGAGGGGGGGGAGAGGGGGGGAGAGAGGGAGAGAGAGAGGGAGGAGAGAAGAGAGGGAGAGGAGAGAGAGGGAGAGAGAGGAGGGAGAGAGAGAGGAGAGGAGGGGGAGGAGAGAGAGGGAGAGAGAGAGGGGAGAGAGAGGGAGAGAGAGAGGGGAGAGAGAGAGGAGAGAGGAGCGAGAGAGACCGTTAGAGGGAGGTTGAGGTGTCGGAGGAGTGAGGTCCGTCCTTTCCTCGATCGGAGGAAGGGAGATGGGGCCCCGGGAGGAGTGTCGAGAAGGGTAAGGGGGGTCGTGGAGAGGGAGGTTAAAGAGGGGGGGAGAAGTTTGCAGTTGGGTTTGTTTTGTCGTAGTGGTTGGTGGTTTCTTGATCGACTGAACTCGCCCCAATCGTCCCCTTTGCTTGTGTGAAGTATCGTTTTTTTGGGCCTCCTCTCGCTCGTGTTTGCCTCTCCATATTCATTGATGTCTAGGTGAAAGTGCTCTGTATCCGAAGGATTGGATTTGTCTTCCCCTTGGATCGAGTCTCGCATTCTTCCGTTGCTGTATGATACCAATGGATTTAGCACTTCCCTGAATATTTTATATCCTGAATTGTGACCTCGATGTCTCCAAGAAGGTTGGCAGAAAAGTGTAACAAATTTCGTGTTTTCTTAAAGAAAAACACTTAATGAAAAAAAAAAAGTACTTAAACTGTTTGTATGCTGAAATACATAGAATTACTTGAAGCCCAAGTAAGCTAATAACCCAAAATATAGGTAGTACAGTTGTATAGTGTTTTGTAAACAGTCATAGATCACGGAAATAAGACTGTCTACTAAACTTGTTAAGCATCGGCTGGACAAGCATCCAGTAGACTGTAGATATTGAATTCACCTTGATGCTCTACAGGGGGTTGGCTATGGTTAGTGGAACTCTGAGGCTAGTTCAAGAGCTATTTCTGGCTCTTAACCATTGATTACACAAGGCAAAATGGTGGAACCATAAGTAGTAATGTTAACAGTGGTATTTATAGTTTTACTGTGTAATGGAGACTGATCTCGTGCTTAGCTACATTGTAGTTAGCCATTCTCAGCCGAGAGTCTTGATGTGTACCTTCATATGGCTCTCCTGATCTTTTGACATTCCCATTGTACTTTTCCATTCTGTCTGTCTCTCATACTTCTCTCTCCCCTTCTCTCACTCTCACTGTCTCTCTCTTCCATTGTCTTTGCCTCTCCCACTCTTTCCCATTGTTCTTCTATTGTTTCCCCATTGTCTTTTTCTCTAACATTGTGTATCTCTCATTTTGTATCCCATTGTCTCTCCTCATTACCCCCCCCCCTTGTCTGTCTGATTTAATTTTCTTTCCCTTTCGGTTTCCAATTTTTTTTTTTCTCTCCCCCCTTTTCTCCCCTTTTTTTCCCTTTTGCTCACTCTCGCATGCATGAACACTGTTATTCAATTTTCATTCTTGTGTGGGGGTTTCCAGTCCTTATAAAAAGTTTCGGCAATATATGCTAGTACCTGGTGCCCCAACAGGTGCAATACCATGCTGACTTCGAGAAGAACAAGGCCAAGTTCACCCAGGTGGCGGACGACCCGGAGACTCAGCGACTCAAGAAGAACACTCAGATAATAAGGTAGGTGTCAAGACCTGTTACCAGGGTCTGATTAGTGAAAGGGGGCTAGCGAGTTTTGCAGGTTGCTAGACAGCTAAAAAAGGAAGATTGGTGAAGGATGGTTGGAAGATTGGCTGGTTAGAGGGTGGCAGTCTAGTTGGAAGGGACTAGGGGACTTATTGTGAAGTATTGTTTTTGATTGTTGTAATTTTGGGGGCTTCAGCCCCCTGTGCTCCCCATCTTTGGTACTGACTCTGAAAACAGGTAAAGAAGAAGGTTGGTTAACGATGTAAAGCTATTATATTGCAACTAATTTTATACTTTTACAGATGTTTAAATTCTGTGTATATTGCAGTACATTATATTTTTATTCTGAAAAAAACTTTTCTCTCCTATTAGCAATGTGATATACCATGGTGAGCTGGCAAAGAAATCGGAAATGGAACGAAAACGAACAGAACCAAATGATGACGACGATGATGATGATGATGCAGGTAATATCTTCTTGTGATATTTCATGTTATTCCAGGATATCCCATTGTATAGTCCTGTCCTAAAATAATAGTTATTTAGGTTGCTTAAATATTTTTTACATGTACATTGTTAACAAATTTCTACCCAGAAGTTTAGCTCTGTACAGTAATAGGAGGATAATGCAGCCTTGTATTTGAATACCATTTGAATTTTATTTTATATTCAAATTTACAATTCTATATTTTACACAAAAAATTTCGTCATTGGTTTGCTGGGATTAACTTAATTTGTAACGGTTCAGTCTAATGTAAAAAAGGTTTAATACATAGTGATACAGAAAGGCTAAGTAACCTCAAAGCCTCTAATGTAAATACCGTAGTAAAGAAAATATAATTTGTTTAGTAGATGCTATTTGGGGAAGTTACACAAAAATTGTGTTGCGGGTGTGTTGCCCGCAACATAAAGTGGTTACAAAGATCAGATATGAATCTGGTTTGTAAGTTCTCTAATATTATAGCTTTTCCATCTTTGCCCATTTTTAAGTATAAAAACTAATAAGCAAAAAAAAAAAAAAAAAATAACCAATACATGTATAAATTTTATTAATATCATGAAGAAAACAGTGCTTAAAATGTACAAATATAGTGCTAGGAACTGCCTTGCATTAAACCACAGATTATGCAAACTGCTTGAGCTTCATAGAGGGTGTAGCCCGCTTGCATTCCTATCATGATTCTCACCTGGACCAGGAAAAAACCTCTGGTCAATATACTAACTAATTTTCACCTTATTTATCATTTATTAAGTTATGCAGTTGGCAAGAAGATGCTTGTGGTGTGCTTCATAGTTTTATTTGAAATTGCAAGCCTAGAAAGGATTTTGCTGTACCTTTGTCTTCAGTGTTTTTTTTTTTTTTTTTTTTTTTTTTTTTACCTTTTGTGTTTTCAAGGACATCTCTAACTTTATTTAAATAAGTTTCCTTCCTGACATTGCCAACTGATTTTGCTGCATTTTTTTAAGAATGTTATTGAATTAGAATAAATATAAAATTGTGTCATACTGTATTCTGATTTGTATGCTAGTTTTGAACAGGTGTGTGTAGGGGTGGGTATGGGTGTGTGTTTGTGTTGGTGAAGGGAATTGCCTAATTGTAGTTACAGAGATAGAGCAATGTTCCTAGTGTTCCATCTTCATATAATTTATTGAATACTCAATTGTTTTTATATTTACTGGGTACCTCATTTCAGAAGTACAGTAAAACCTTGAATTAACGGACCCCCCGTTTAACAGATTTTTTGGAAATTATGGACAATAAAATTGGCTGGACAAATATTGGGATCATTAGACAAAATGGATTCGGATTTTGCCCACAGCGATAGTGTTTGTGTTCTGAATCAACGGACCAAGTCTGATAATTCTGACATTTCTTTGGTACAGGCTATAGTGTCCATGTTAGGAACCTGTTCATTGTTTCCTGAGCCGTAATCTGCCCGTGTCAGTTTCTGTGCTAGCTCACTCTCACTCCTCATTTAGTCTCCAGTTCCTCAAATTTACAGTGTTTTGTGTGGCTTCATTAACATAATAAGTAAAGTGCAATTAACAATGGCTTCTGAAACAAGTGGAAGTACTACCAAGAGGAAATGTTTAACTCTGTGTTAAGGGGGAACTTGAATTAATAAGGAAGGTTGAGTCTGTTGTCTCATTGACACTGTTATGTGAGGAATAGTGTTAAGAAAGTGATATCCATAGAAGCAAAGACAGACTTACAAACTATGCTCTTAAACAAACTATGCTTGTAAGTTTAATGTAGATACTAGTGGAACTTTACACCTCCTCTGACTCGGAACAAAAGTTATTCTGTCGTTACTATTGCTCATAGCAGTTTGTCTTTCACCACAATAAAAGGTAAGTAAAATTACTGTAAACTACTACAGAATTCCTATACTGTACATATATACTTTACTCTTGTACTTTCACCTTCATTTTTATTGATGGTATATAGTTGTACTGTACTGTTTTTCAGGTTACATATTGTGCGTTCAGTAGTCTTATGAATCACTGGACCAAATTTGCTGATTCAGAACTTTGTCCTTTGTGTGATCATGAATTTTGTCTATTTGTTATGATCACGAAAAATAAATTTCATAATTTGGAATCTATGAACAGTGATCAATAAATTGCACTTCCCCTTCCGTAGCATTCCTTTAATTCAAGGGTTCCCTATACAGGTATAGAAAGTGGGCGAAGGGCTTGGACTTCCAGCAAGCGTGCGTGAGCGTGTTAGATAGGAGTGAATGAAGACGAATGGTATTTGGGACCTGACAAGCTGTTGGAGTGTGAGCAGGGTAATATTTAGTGAAGGGATTCAGGGAAACCGGTTATTTTTATATAGCCGGACTTGAGTCCTGGAAATGGAAAGTACAATGCCTGCACTGGGATATTGGCAGTTTGGAAGGATATGTTGTGTACCTTTATACGTATTTGCTTCTAAACTGTTGTATTCTGAGCACCTCTGCAAAAACAGTGATTGTGTGAGTGAGGTGAAAGTGTTGAATGATGATGAAAGTATTTTCTTTTTGGGGATTTTCTTTCTTTTTGGGTCACCCTGCCTCGGTGGGAGATGGCCGACTTGTTAAATAAATACAGTGGACCCCCGCTTAACGATCACCTCCAAATGCGTCCAATTATGTAAGTGTATTTATGTAAGTGCGTTTGTACGTGTATGTTTGGGGGTCTGAAATGGACTAATCTACTTCACAATATTCCTTATGGGAAAAAATTCGGTCAGTACTGGCACCTGAACATACTACTGGAACGAAAAAAGTTCGTTAACCGGGGGTCCACTGTAATATATATATATATATTATATATATATATATATATATATATAAATATATATATATATATATATATAATGTATATATATGTATATACAGTGGACTCTCACCTAACGAACGCATCGCATAACGTTAAATCCACCTACGATACATTTTAACGCAAAAATTTTGCCTCGGCTAGCGCTAAAAAAACTCGCTCAACACGATTCGTTCGAGACGCGTCCACGTGCGGCCTGAGCCTGCCTTGCTTGTTCCGTGGGTGCCAGTGTTTACAAGCCAGCCACCGCGGTCGCTTCCAAGCATACAATCGGAACATTTCATATTATCACAGCCTTTTTAGTGATTGCACCTGCAAAATAAGTCACCATGGGCCCCAAGAAAGCTTCTAGTGCCAACCCTACAGCAAAAAGGGTGAGAATTACTATGGATATGAAGAAAGAGATCATTGCTAAGTATGAAAGTGGAGTGCGTGTCTCCGAGCTGGCCAGGTTGTACACAAAACCCCCAATCAACCATTGCTACTATTGTGGCCAAGAAAACGGCAATCAAGGAAGCTGTTCTTGCCAAAGGTGCAACTTTGTTTTTGAAACAGAGATCGCAAGTGATAGATGTTGAGAGACTGTTATTGGTGTGGATAAACGAAAAACAGATAGCAGGAGATAGCATCTCTCAAGCGATCATGTGTGAAAAGGCTAGGAAGTTGCATGAGGATTTAATTAGAAAAATGCCTGCAACTAGTGGTGATGTGAGTGAATTTAAGGCCAGCAATGGTTGGTTTGAGAGATTTAAGAATCGTAGTGGCATACATAGTGTGATAAGGCATGGTGAGGCTGCCAGTTCCTACCAAAAAGCAGCTGAAAAATATGTGAAGGAATTCAAGGAGTACATAGACAGTGAAGAATTGAATCCTGAACAAGTGTTTAATTGTAAAGTAAAAGGACACAAGTGCAACTAATGCCACAATAAAATGTCACATTAGTTGCACTTGTGTCCTTTTACTTTACATATTGTCGGTAATTCTACCAACATTATTACAAGTGTTTAATTGCGACAAAACAGGCCTGTTTTAGAAGAAAATGCCAAGCAGGACCTACATTACTCAGGAGGAAAAGGCTCTCCCAGGACATAAGCCTATGAAAGACAGGCTTACTCTTTTGATGTGTGCTAATGCTAGTGGTGATTGGAAAGTGAAGCCTTTATTGGTGTATCACTCTGAAACTCCCAGAGCGTTCAGGCAAAACAGTGTCCTCAAGGCTAATTTGTGTGTGCTGTGGAGGGCAAACAGTAAGGCATGGGTCACTAAGGACTTTTTCTATGACTGGTTACACCATGCATTTGCCCCCACTGTGAAAAATTACCTAATGGAAAAAAAAAATTGGACCTTAAGTGCCTCCTGGTATTAGACAATTCTCCTGTTCATCCTTCAGACTTGGCAGAGCGACTTTCTGGGGACATGAGCTTCATTAAGGTCAAGTTTTTGCCTCCTAATACCACTCCTCTCCTGCAGCCCATGGACCAGCAGGTCATTTCAAACTTCAGAAAACTCTACACAAAAGCTATGTTTCAAAAGTGCTTTGAAGTGACCTCAGACACTCGATTGACTATTAGAGTCTTGGAAAGATCACTTTAGTATCCTCAGTTGTGTAAACCTTATAGGTAAGGCTTGGGAGGGAGTGACTAAGAGGACCTTGAACTCTGCTTGGAAGAAACTGTGGCCACAATGTGTAGAAGAAAGGGATTTTGAAGGATTTGGGGCTAACCCTGAGAAGCGTATACCAGTTGTGGAATCCATTGTGGCATTGGGGAAGTCCTTGAGGTTGGAGGTTAGTGGGAGGATGTGGAAGAGTTGGTGGAGGAGGACAGTGAAGAACTAAACACTGATGAGCTGCAAGATCATCTTCAACAGCAAGAGGCCAGACCTGAGGAAACTGCTTCAGAGGAGGGGAGAGAGAAATTGAGGTAGTTGCCTACTTCAAAGATTAAGGAAATGTGTGCAAAGTGGGTTGAAGTGAAAACCTTTACGGATGAAAATCACCCTGACACAGCCACTGCAAACCATGTTGGCAACCTGTACAATGACAATGTTTTGGCCCATTTTAGGAAAGTCTTGAAGGAAGGAGTGAGGTACAGAGCTCTTTGGACAGATTTGTTGTGCGACAGAGGTCCAATGACTTTCAAGCTGG